TATGTTTGTTTTCCATCAACTAAATACGTATGCCCGAACTACTTGTGCTGTTTGGCGAAAACAACCAAAACGCTGATAAGATCGTGCAGCAAAAGCAGAAAACACGCTTCTGAAGTTCCAATCTTATGTTGGAGTGTAGATCTGCACTAGCGGTTTTCTTCCTTGGTGTTTAATGTTAGTACGCTGACTTTATGTCCAAAGAACACAAGTTTCACAATGACAATAACGTTGTAATACGAACGACTTATTTAGGTGAAGGTATGTGTGTTTATTTTGAAAAATTTTTGTCGACTCAGTTCTTGCTGCCGTATGACAAGAACTTCCAAAATTAGGTGGATTTACACTACAACGAATTTTCCCGTTCTTGGCGTTTGATCTCAATCGTTGCAATCACGGATTAACACAAAGCAGCCAATTCAAAAAAAACTAATTGGGAAAGTGATTCTTCGCCTCCGTTTTGCCTAGTTCGTAAGATTTTGAAAATGCGTACTTTAGCACTTTGATGCTAACATGATGAGTATGGGATGACAGGATTTTGACACGTTTGTGATCAAGCATTTGGCTAATTACTGAATGCTTGTAATAAAACTCCTGGCTGGAGAAAACCTCTTCGAGTGATGGGCTTTTGCTTGCCCAAGGTTGAATTTTCCGGAAGAACAGTACATCGGAACGTTTTGCCGCATGTTAAATCTGACAAGGAAAATTAAGTCTGAAGTGAATGGACGCAGACTTGCAAACTCGAGGAGTTATCCATCTCGGGTGAGTCTTCTATACACACAGCGAGCATACCATCCACAGCTGTCTCGATGGCTGTAAAGATCACCAATATTTATGGGGTTTATTCACACTGTCCTGCTCTAAAGTACCTCTTAAAACACGGTTTGACTGGGGGACGCACCAGTTAAAAATTTCAGCACACGGCTTCGACAGAAAAACCTTACATCTAAATATGGCTTGGGCCTAATTAGGAAAGGAAGACTAAATTAACCATGCTGTGATTTAAAGTGCGTGTGGCATGTCTCATAACAGGCCACTATGGGAAAACCTTTTGCAAAACAGAAAGTCTGGTACTCGGCAAGGTCACAGCAATTCGTATCAACAGGTGTCATATGGTACTTCTATGGGAAGTGCAGCAGTACGGTCAATTGTGTCCAACTCACTAAATAAGCGACTGGCACCGAAGGTCTCACAGAGGACCCTCGGAGTCCAGCAGCGAGATTATTGTACAAGCACAGTAACCACAACTGTTTCTTAGAAGTGACTTTTCATCAGGAAGCATGTGCTATTTCGCCCACCCCCTGGCAGCAACCATGTAATAGGAATCACTCAAGGGATCTGAACGGCTGGATTCTACATGACTAGTATTTTTGTTTGGCCGGCGTATCAAACCGCGGGTTTTGCAATGAGCTTTCAAATTTCGAAAATAATGAAGATCGTTTCATAACGGTGAATGTTTCGTTGCCGTCTTGCCCTGTACGTGAGTCGTTGTCACTGAGACCGAGCTAACATAGTGAAACCTACTTCGATACCTGCTTCCCAGTTGTTTAACAAAGAACGCATTTGCATGAACTGTAATCATTCACACAGATAAACAGGCTGGTTTGTTCTGCCAAAAATACAACGTGTAAATCTTTTTTCTAGTGTGACACGTATATATAAACGTTTTCCGGTAGTTATTCTTGACGCAGCGCCAGGAATTCATTTACTCACAAACGGAAAACATGAATAACAAGAACTCTGCTGAGGCAGAGGTTTTATAGATGCGGAATATATCGGAGTCCCCCGTGGCCGTGAACCATACTAGTAATTAGTATTTCCAACTGATTACGGAGTTGGGCTTCCGCATGGTTACGTCGCGCTTTTATCTGATGGTAATCATTACGTTGAGTACAAAAGCCTAATGGCTTGGTTAAATGGTTTGGAACGGAGCAGTTATTGTTAACATGTGCAAAATATGTTGTGCCTCGTGGACTGTGTAGATTCAGCTGAACGCGCGACCGCTGAATTAGAAGTATACTGAGACTGTACAAAATTTTTTAAGAGGCCTCCACTAATGTTTATGCTTGCTTAAACTGCTGCGAAAAAGTAGTGATAAGTGAAGAAAGCTCCACGGGGTGAAATAGTATGAAAATAAAGTTAACGAATGCACCTTATCGGTCTATGGCAGTCATTTGGACATCAGTAGAGAAGTACAGGTAGATATGGTCGCTTGCTTCCCGAGAAGTAGGGTATCCATTGCACGTTGCCAAAGAGAATGAAACGCTCACCTGAACTACCGTTTATGCTATGACGACGAAGCATCTTATGTAAGGGCACTAAAAACGGGTGCTTCTGCATCACACTATGAACTTTTACCAAGTCAAGAGAACGTATTTAGGGTTGGCCGTGTGTCAAGCAAGAAAAATACATGACAAATGCACTGGTTTATACCTCTTCTAGGGTTTTAATTTGCACTTGGACTCATATCATTGCGCGCTCACTTCGAAGCAGCATCCCAAATTCAATAGCCACAAAATGCATACAGTCTTCTAATCATTCAGTTTATCTTACAGACGGTTAGCTGTCTTTCCTTTCTAAAATAATACTAATTATACTAATAATACTACTCTATTTTGGTTGTCTTAATTGCTAACCGTTGTCAGCACTAGCGGATGAGAGAATCCCTGTGTGTTATTGCTTGTTCTGTGTGAACATTCAGGCAACTTAGTGATAATCCGCATATCTTTTCTAGTCAGCCTAGATTTAAGAGTGTTGATCAACAACACGGTCTGGGTACTGATGAACCGTCCCTTCGCTTTTCTACCATGTCTCATTTTCTTACGCTTGGTATCACTCAGTGGATCAAAGGAATACATACCGTACATTTCTACACCTAGGTAGTCACAATTATTTTACAATTTTTTACAGTCATCGATTTGGTCCCCAAACAATCCAGCTCAAGATGCTTATGAGAACAGAAGGAAAGAACTATTCCGTTTAGTTTGTTCATGTTGAACGCAGAAGACTCGCCTAACCGAAATCTTCCAGTAAAACCCATGCCGGGCAGTAGATGACATTCTCAGAACAGACAAAACGATGACGGACCAACCAACATCATCATCATCATCATTAGCGAAATGCACTCATTTGGAAACCGATTTGGTTGTGTGGGACACTCACATTGAACCCAGCTGAGTCTCTCGTCTTCTGACTTTTTAGCAAGTGAACGTGCTCAAAACCGTCACGAAAAAGAAATTCAGCTAGACTCAAGATGAGTCTCTGTTCAAAATCAAATAAGTGTGCAAAGGAGTGTGTTTCGCTAATTTCGTTCAACCTGGTGTGAACTAGAACAGAAAGTAAACGGGAACTCCGGAATTGCGCCTAACTAGTGAGACCTAGGAAGAACGAATCCCGTCGTGGGCTGTCGGCAACCTTATGAGTAGTGTATTATTTCTATTAAATCACTTTTTCAAGAATTAGCAGAAACCAATCAAACAGGAAGGCCAAAAAATCCTAGGGGGGGGGAATGCCTTGAACAACATCTAATGCTATTCAACAAGGAATGTATATCGGGGGCAGGTGCGGTGGAACATAATGTTCTATTCCACATTCAGTATTATCCAGGTGTCTTGTGGGTGACATTTTAATGTCGGAGAGATTTTGCGCAAACACTAGCCGGACCCCGTATTCAATATGAGCAACCGGTTAGTTTGAATTGCTCATCAGACTGTTTATTCACCAACTATCTCCTAACGAACTTCATAGCTCACACCGGCATGTGGTTCATCCATAGAAATTTCAGACCACAGGGACAACCATACAGCTGTGGAGCATGAACTAGGCATGACCAACTATAGTCAAATACTGAATGCCGAAAATCAAACAGACATACCACGACTATCCAGAATGTCAATATTGTTAAGCGTTTTGGTGATAGTATTCGTGATTTGCGCGGTTCCACGCTTCCTGTCTGCTGTGAAGCAGTCACCAGTCGGTTACTGGAACAAACATACTAGTTTGCAAAGCCCGAAATATTCAGGCATAAAGCAGCAAACATCGGTAATTTCCGGCAGATCGGACATATACCACGGTAAGTCGGCGTCTGTTAAGTCTCCTTGTTAAGTAGCTGGGTTAGGGATGAACCAAACTCTTGAACAGACTGGTAATTCAGTGACGTTTCTGAAAGCGGAACTCATTAGCCCACCCATCAGTAACCTGCTGCGCTGGCTAAAAAAAAGTGAACAGATGCCGGATATTGGTGTTGCATTCAACGGAACGACAGGAGAACAGGCCATCATTTCTTGACTACTTTGGTCTTCGGCTTTTGTATGATGCAACCATACTACTTCCATTTCTCCAAACGTACAGTTGCACACAGACAGTCGCACAAACTGCATAATTCATTTTGAAAGTAAACACCGTTTACTCTATTGGTCATACTAAGTCTTCTTTCTGAACAGTAAGCAAAATTCTGTTGCAGCTCCATTCAACGCCTTGGACTGGGTATTCAAAGGCAGTTAAATTTGTACGTTTGACGCCAGCTAATTGAATTACGTAATATGATTATAAATTTGAGGTAGACTAAAATAGGATCCCTACCACATTGTGACAAGCCCATGTTGTTTTGGAACTCGCTAATTTGCATGAACCCGTTGGATACCAGAAGGCAGCCTCTAAAAAAGTCCAGGCCCATTTAATATCATTTGGGTTTCAAGTGTGCCAATAAAGCTTGCAAGAGAGCTCGAGATCAATTAACATGTTCCACTAAGATCAGAGTTGTTAGGATAATTACAACAATACGTAGCCCCGTCTGAATCATCGCCCCTTTGAAGCGTCGTCTATTATCAACTCTTCTGGCGGATAAGATATCAGTCCGTTCGAATAATACATTCTGTTTGATGTTAATCTGTTTCAGCTTCTTCGTCTTCTGGCATACAAGCCTGATGTTCCAACTTCCGTCGTATACCGCACATCTTTACGCCTTATTGTGCTAAATGCCTTTTTAAGCTTCGTCGCTTCAGCTCATCTTTAATACAGCAAGGCCGCATCGACAAAAAGCCACACAGTGTTGCCGCAATTGAGTTGGATTTTCAAGATGGCAGGCGCAAAGCCGACTGCATCTACAAAGTAAACATAGGCAATCTTGGATTAAATCACCGTTAGACAAGGCGATGCCAACGAGGATCGCGTAACAAAGTTTGTACACTCTGCTGATTGTAAAATGAACCATGTCTTAGTGCAATTCTATGAAGATAACTACTCGTCTAACGGCAGAAAGACTGCCAAGCAGATGCAACATCGAGAAGCCTTTGCTTCGGCCACCATTACGGCATTTCCAAGAAGTTGTCAATCACAGCTTGTCCGAATCATCTGTGCTATGAGAACAGCTCACCAAGATCAAGGAACACGTCAAGTCAGCTCTAACTGCGGAGAAGGTACGCTTCTTTACAGTACATAACGGTGCCCATTATCCACACAATGTTCTCAGCTGCAAAGCCTTTACAAATGGAGTAAAACCTTCTACGCCAAAAGGTTGCATTTTCCTGCGTATGTGCTCACATTAAAAACCGTCCTAATCCAAGTCTACATTTTTGCAGCTCACCAAATTTCATTGTTCACTGAGACAACCATGCTGCTGGCTGAAAAGTCTTGTGAGATAATTTTCCAGCATCGCTGAGACCCCGGGACGCCTAAATGGGGCTTAAAAGTTTGGATTGGTGCTCTCAGCTCATTTGCCCGATTGCTTTAATCCATCGGGGACACGTCATAACTTTCGAAAATTCAATTCCGTTGTGCGACTACTGAGCGCTGTACATAACAATCCACCCAGTTTAAATGTGCACCATTGTGCGCAATCAAATCAAGGTTCTATGGGGATGAAATTTACATCCAACTTTCGAAAACTGAAAGTCGAAGACTATGGAATGGAAACGCTGGCCAGTTGTTTACACTGGAAGGACTTGTACTCGAAGACAAAGTATTTCTGTCTGATGCTCCGAAAATTCCCAACAAAAAGTCAAAGACCGAAAATTCTTTCTGATGTTCAAAGCAGAGAGAAGCCGAGACAGAGTGGTCAACCATACCGTACTCAATCAATATATGTCCTGTACGCAAAATCTTGATTCACACTATGCTCAACTAGCTGAACCCTAAGACTGTGTGGGAAGTTTCCCTGAGGTTGAATCGGGCTTCCAGAGTGGAAGCTGTGTAACTGATGTTGCAGCCCCTTAAACGCAAGAAGAGTGACTGGAAGGACAGCAGTTATTTGCAGACCCCTTAGGAAACTTGGAAAAACTTGGAGATGTAGATCACTATTCAAAAAGTCGGATGTCTCGAAATCCTTCGACTACATTCTTCTTCAGCTTTAATGGCCTGGTGAGATACCTGTTGAGTTGCCTCCGACAAGTTTGAGAAATTGAAGCAACTGTTTTTTCTGGCTCTACTTCTCGTCTGACAACCGTTGAGGGAGATTCTACTATGTTTATACACTCGGAGGCCGATTAATCACTGCTTTTGCATTGGCAACCTACCTAATTTTATCACTATATACTCCAGCATCTTGCACAGTTACCCGGAGGTCTGAACAACATACAGCATAATTACGTATTGCGGAATTATCCTCCAATCCGACATCACCTCGTCAACAGAGTGGACAATCAATGCTGAAGACATTCACGGCTTTTGGTCGAAAATAATACAGTTGTGAAAAAAAATACTACTACAGCCTTGATGTCATTCGTGCTGTGTGACATTCAAACTAATGGTATATTAGAATGTTTGACGAATTTTGCACAACGCTTAGGAAGGGGACTTTGAATCTGTTGATTAGATCAGAAAACTGAAGTTTCTAAAACAGCCATAGTGGACGGAATCCGATACTCAGTGATGCACAGCCAGCCATGCTGGATAAGGCACGTATAACGAAAGTCCGGTAATCTCAATGAAATGCTTCAGTTATGGTCACTTAAATGATAGGTCAAACTTCGATAACATACAATTCCAAAAGTCCAAGAGGATGTCAGCGAACTGCGTAGATACGTTTGTGCTGTTCCTGATCAACATCTGCAAAGCACCCGCCCGACTCTACTGTCCAACGCGACGATGCTACAATTTCATTGTGAAGTTGTCTATTTGGAAACATGAACTAAAAAGTTAAAAGCCATTCGGCCTGAAAGTAAACATATCATCTGCACAGAGTTTTTCAATTGTGAATATCCGAAAGATTTCTCCTGAACTTTCCTGGACGTAGATTGAATGTAAACAATAGTGAACGAACACAGCAGGGCGGTTCTCTAATTTCCTTAGTAAATTTGACCTTCCACCAAGTTGGTTACCAGACCATATACTTCTCACATGCCCCATCAGTAGTACATACTGTCACTACGGAACTTCTATCGTAGGCCCCACCGGATTGATTCGATTCCCTTGTTAAAGGTGTTATCGCAATCCACTGTGTTGTCTCCTGACTTCAGTATGCCTTCAGATGTGTACTCCTGATATCCCTGAACAAACAACACCTGCGGTTCATGGCTGTTTTGAAAAAAACTCGTGAGTTACTGTTGGGAGTAAAACTCGAAAGTGACTAATTTCTTTCCCTTAATGGACGTTAGAGGTCAGGGAGTCGAGCCCGGGCAAACCTTCACAGGAGTGCCTTTGTTAGCCAGTTGTAACGTAGCATTAGGTGGAACCGTTATAAATTCATGTAGGCCATCTCGGGCGGATGAGTACCTCAAGTTGATTCTAATAGACGAGCAAGTTATAAAAGACGGAGATGTCACAACGATGTTTTCTCCTAGCCTAGAGATACGAAGCCACTCAACACAGCCCCACGTAAAATTGGTGACCCATTGATTCGTGGGCTATATTCTGCCTAACTGAAAGTTGGTCGCATTTCTGAACAGCGGTTCATGACCAATCGGACTAGTACACGTTCAACTTCATCAGAAGATACACACTGGTGATGACTCATATTAAACAAACAGCAATACAGCGCTTCTAAGCTTTCCTGTAGAAACTGTCTTTTCCTCCGGCACAAAATTTTGCGTGTGATGAATGACTCTGCTTTTTATGCTCTCTGATGAAATAAAATATTCTATGTACAAACGCTGATCTTTCTGCACTTAGCCCTGGTGATGCCAAAATAATTCATCTTTAACTATCACGTTAGATATCGTACTCCATCAAGTCAACTTTTACTAAGATTTTCATGGCCGCAGAACTCATTGTTTTCACATGCTGATGACGGAAGTTACAGCACACGCAATATCACTTTCATCAAAGCAACCAACACTCAAATTTGATCGAAACGACAAAGGTTGGTCCGTTTGTGAAATGGGGAATATGTTGGTCTTGAGTGCGACCGGTAGAGTAGTATACGCAGCTACACTTTAAATTGTTAACGCGATTGCAAATCAGGATGAATACTGCAAGGTCCAATGGAGAACCATATCAAATATGGTGACGGCTCTTAAACACGAGAAATATCACGGAACTTAATATGAAACAGTGGCGTACATTCATTTTCTATGGTTAGGAAACAAGCTGAAGACGTGATAGTTTATCTCACGGAGACGCAGATTTATGAAGTCAAACTAGCATAGACGTTCGTTTACCCACAAGATTTGCTAGTATACTCAGCAGTTTAGAATATTGGCCTAATTACTGGAAGGTTCTATAATTGATGTTCATTGGTGTGGTCCGCCAAAGGGATCATACCTTCCCCATCCGAAAACCTGATGAGCACGCGCACTTAAGATATTAATAGTAGCCTAAAAACGTCAAATTCCATTTTATACTGTTCAAGCGCGGTTTGACATGGGAAAAAGTACAATAAAGTTCCACACGCTTATCCATAAAATGGATCACGTACATTTTTAAATTGCGACCTGAATACTGAAGTGCGCGCTGAGCGACAAGTAAGCCAGTTTTATTTTACACCTATCCTATCGGAGAGACTCCAGCAAAGGTTTTTTCGATTACCTTTATTATATGCGAGGAAAGGCAAGCGCCAGAAAGCGCAATCCCTGTAAAGCACACAGACGCCAGAAACTTCGCCATAGTTATCAAATCGCACACAAAAGAACACATTTTGTATCCAATCCAGCCTCTGGTGAGTGAGAAAAGTTCATATATCACGATTTTGGTAGAATGAAAATGTGCAGTCAACTCAATATATCGGAAAAGAATGTAATTTGTTTCAGATGCCTAGTGGCCATTATCAGCCCGTCTTTTCTCCCCCAAGTGAAGCCGAAGATCCCTACAACTGCATTAATCTATGCTAGTCTAGTCTAGACCGTATCAGACATTATCCTGAGTCTGCATATTTTAGCGAGTTATTTTTTGCGTTCAAAACCATTCATTTCGTCAAATATTCTTTATTATACTAACGAAAAAGTAGAAGGCTTTGATTGTTCATGAAGAACCCTTCTTAAAAATATCCTACAGTGAGTGCTACTGAAACCTTATAGTGTTTCGAGTATTAACTTTCGTGGCCATCTGGGGAAAGTGCAAAACGTTGAACATTCGGTTGTTAACTACTTATTTTAGGCAAAGACTATTTGCATTGAATGGTGAATGAAAAGAACAGGATTTCAGTATAACACCACAGAAAAAGTTATCAAATTACACACTTATTTTATAGAATATTCGCCATAACGGCAACCACAGCAAAGCATAAAAAGATTGAACTGAAACAAATGGCAGGAGTCTGACCATCGGCGCTGTTAAAGGCATCGTTCAGAAACATTGCTAGCCTTTAAAAATGTCGAATTTACTTTGTGTCTATTGAAATGAATTTCTTATCCTTCAACTTCAAATGCCCGAATGTTGAAAATTTGCCCAATGCTTAGTGTGGTGTGAAACCAATGCGCCGTAGGAGGAAAGCCAACGTTACTGGTCATAATGACATTTCGGAAATTGTTTAAAAAAGACAGTTTTACGCACTACTTTTGAAGAAAGTGAAAATAGTTAGCTGAAAAGACGATATTCCACGCCGGCCCTGCAACTGTCGCTTCGATTTATAAGTGGAGCTTTTGTCTTCCTTTGATTCAACGCGATGCTCAGCGCCTTGTTCACATCAATCAGACCAAGGATTGACCTTACACTTTGTCAACCACTGGTTTCTCATG